CTGTTAAGCAAAACAAACGACAAACGCACGCAACAATTTGTTACCAGTTATACAGCGCGGTGCACACGAAATGGGCTTTGAACAATAGAACAGTAGAAAGGCATCATGGCACACTCACAAACCAGCATGTAAAACAACTTGTCTCACCACTAAGGACAATGACAGAGGTTTGGATACACGTCTTCTGCAGAGGATGTGACAGCCGCACTGCCGCGCCAAGGCACCTCTTATAGTGCGGTCCTAACTCTAAACTATGAGAGTCTCCATCTTGGAGCACATGGGGGCAGAAGATGTCAAATTGGGTGCAGGCCTGTCAGGAGGACGCCCCACCTCCTTAAAGGTACTGTGCTGTTAGTCCCCAATGCTGCTTGCCCCACCCCCCACAATAAGATGCCATCTGAGGCTGCCTCATGATAGGGACGCCCCCGGTTATCATTAATAGTACTAGTAGTGGTGATTTTCTGAACCTCCGGGATTTCCTGTACGGCCATGACTGCCGCGTCTTACTGTTGGGGGGCATTTCCCTTTGCACACCCCTCCGTGCCCAGCGCAGTACTCGGGGGTACAGGGGATTATTATGGCTCCCTCTCGTCCTCAATGTAAAGTGAACCTGTCAGATTGCATGGTGTGTGGGCAAAGTTCAGGATTGCTTTAAAGCGTATACTTAAAGTGTCTTTGTCCCCGCTAGCAGATTTGCCATGACTTCCTGTCCAGGGGACACAACAGGAACTCTTTCTTCATAATGAAAAGTTTATATGAATTTTTCACCTCACACAATCTGTAAAATCAACTTTAGATCTACCAAACCCAATTACAACGAGGACCGACCTAATCCATGTATCCATCACATTCCTGAATATACAATGTATCCATCACATTCCGGAATATACAATGTATCCATCGACATTCCGGAATATACAATGTATCCATCGACATTCCGGAATATACAATGTATCCATCGACATTCCGGAATATACAATGTATCCATCACATACTGGAATATACAATGTATCCATCACATTCCTGAATATACAATGTATCCATCACATTCCGGGATATACAATGTATCCATCGACATTCCGGGATGTACAATGTATCCATCACATTCCGGAATATACAATGTATCCATCACATTCCGGCATATACAATGTATCCATCACATTCCGGAATATACAATGTATCCATCACATTCCGGAATATACAATGTATCCATCGGCATTCCGGAATATACAATGTATCCATCGGCATTCCGGCATATACAATGTATCCATCGGCATTCCGGGATATACAATGTATCCATCACATTCCTGAATATACAATGTAGCCATCGGCAATCCGGCATATACAATGTATCCATCACATTCCGGGATGTACAATGTATCCATCACATTCCTGAATATACAATGTATACATCACATTCCGGAATATACAATGTATCCATCGACACTTCAGAATATACAATGTATCCATCGGCATTCCGGGATATACAATGTATCCATCGACATTCCGGCATATACAATGTATCCATCGGCATTCCGGGATATACAATGTATCCATCGACATTCCGGCATATACAATGTATCCATCGGCATTCCGGGATATACAACGTATCCATCGGCATTCCGGGATATACAATGTATCCATCGGCATTCCGGGATATACAATGTATCCATCGGCATTCCGGGATATACAATGTATCCATCGGCATTCCGGGATATACAATGTATCCATCGGCATTCCGGGATATACAATGTATCCATCGGCATTCCGGGATATACAATGTATCCATCACATTCCGGAATATACAATGTATCCATCACATTCCGGAATATACAATGTATCCATCGACATTCTGGAATATACAATGTATCCATCGACATTCCGGAATATACAATGTATCCATCACATTCCGGAATATACAATGTATCCATCGGCATTCCGGAATATACAATGTATCCATCGGCATTCCGGCATATACAATGTATCCATCGGCATTCCGGGATATACAATGTATCCATCACATTCCTGAATATACAATGTAGCCATCGGCAATCCGGCATATACAATGTATCCATCACATTCCGGGATGTACAATGTATCCATCACATTCCTGAATATACAATGTATACATCACATTCCGGAATATACAATGTATCCATCGACACTTCAGAATATACAATGTATCCATCGGCATTCCGGGATATACAATGTATCCATCGACATTCCGGCATATACAATGTATCCATCGGCATTCCGGGATATACAATGTATCCATCGACAATCCGGGATATACAATGTATCCATCGACATTCCGGCATATACAATGTATCCATCGGCATTCCGGGATATACAACGTATCCATCGGCATTCCGGCATATACAATGTATCCATCGGCATTCCGGGATATACAATGTATCCATCGGCATTCCGGGATATACAATGTATCCATCGGCATTCCGGGATATACAATGTATCCATCACATTCCGGAATATACAATGTATCCATCACATTCCGGAATATACAATGTATCCATCGACATTCTGGAATATACAATGTATCCATCGACATTCCGGAATATACAATGTATCCATCACATTCCGGAATATACAATGTATCCATCGGCATTCCGGAATATACAATGTATCCATCGGCATTCCGGGATATACAATGTATCCATCACATTCCGGAATATACAATGTATCCATCACATTCCGGAATATACAATGTATCCATCGACATTCTGGAATATACAATGTATCCATCGACATTCCGGAATATACAATGTATCCATCACATTCCGGAATATACAATGTATCCATCGGCATTCCGGAATATACAATGTATCCATCGGCATTCCGGGATATACAATGCATCCATCGGCATTCCGGGATATACAATGTATCCATCACATTCCGGAATATAATGGGGTCAATCCATAAAACTGGAGCAGACAAAATCAGGAGCAGTTGCCTATAGCAACCAATCAGCTTCTCTCTTTAGTTTGTTCAGTTAAGATTTGGAAATGAAAGAGAGAAGCTGATTGGTTGCTATAGGCAACTGCTCCTGATTTTGTCTGCTCCAGTTTTGATAGATTCCCTTCACTGTATCCATCAACATTCCGGAATATACAGATGGGGGGAATATATCAAACGTGGAGCAGTTGCTCATAGTAACCAATCAGCTTCTTGCTGCAGTTTGTTTAGTTAAGGTTTGAAAATGAAAGGTGGATACTGATTGGTTGCTATGGGATACTGCTCCAGATTCTGTCTGCTCCACTTCTGATCTATTCCCCCGTCTGTATATTCCGGAAGACACTGCACACAATGTATGCATCTCACCTGTGTGTTAGGAAGTCGCCTCATGGTAATCACCTTTTTCTTTCTTCCCGGCAGGGTGAGGGTTAATCTGTGCCAGCTGCCGGGAAGGTCTGGGCCAGGAGCGGGACAACGGGACCACCCAGGGAGCGCGGCCCGGCGGAGGGTCGGTGTTTGTATCTGGGGGGGGGGTTGTATATCTCTCTCTGTATGTGTGTGTGTGCGGCTTATTTGTGTGTCTGTGTTTATGTGTGTCAGAGACACAGATGGATTTGTGTACCTTACGCAGTATAATTGTGCGTCTCTCCGCACACGGATAATTGTGTGTGTATTTACACAATCCGCCCCAGATGTGGAGACGACGCTTTGGGTGGCGAGATTTGTGTATCTTGTTCTGATAAATGCATCTCCGCCACCGCCC